GCAATGCCAGTTCAATAAGAGCTCGCTAAGCCAAAATTCTGTTTTCATCCACAACGTAATATCTTCAAGCCACATCTTGCAAACCTCCCTAAAGAACTCGAATGCAATGCTGCAGCAGCCTGGTAGCACAAGCATAGCCACTGGCAGTGCTAAGTCATGAGCCTTAGGTTTCTGTACAGCAGCTTACAATGAAATGTCTTATGAGATGGCTGAGGCAGTCAGCAAGGAAGTTTTGAATACCAGTGTTTTTCTGCGATGGAGAACGTCTTTGTTCTGTTTCAAACTGCATTTTTCCAGGCACTGAAAATCATTCTTCCGTAACAAAGTTAAAAACTGTACTTTCTAGCAGACAAATATTACCATAAGACAGCACAAAACTATTTTCTTTGAATATTTATACATTTTATAACATTGCTTACTCAAAGATATCTAGGTTTTTCACAGGAGGGAAATATAAAATACCAGATTAAAAAAGGGGTTATAGTAATAAGCATGAGAAATTTTTTACATATTATTTTAAACTTGATAGTTTACAGATTTATAGCACAATATCAAACAGTCACTTTGAAAAATGCATAAAAAACTAATAAATGTTCCATTAAATAGAATATGTCTCATTTTCTTTTGCACTGAATGATAGTTTTGTTAATTCTGTGGCTGAAATTACAGATCACTGCAATCATGGATCTCCTTTATTCTGGAGTTGCAGAGTTGGGTTAGGAAGCAGAACTGAATTGTCTTGCCCTGGTACTACCACTGGTGCTACAGGTGGTACTCATGCTGTTCACCACTGCACTGGACTGCCCTGCCACGTGTCACTTTGTCAAGGTAAGCAAATTTACCAGAAAAGCCACTGGTCATTTACACCGGTAAAAATGACCACTTACCTTCAATCAAGATATTTTCTATTGCTGACCTAACTTTGTGAGCACTGTCTGCCTGCAGAGAAAAGCCAGTATAACTGGAAAGTTGTAATTCTACAGGAATAGTGACTCCATATAAAAGTGTGGGCTGTGGAACTACAAGGAACTCATATTCAATTATATATGCTGGATTTCTGGAGGGCAACTGATTGTAATCTGCATCTTCCTAGGAATTACCTATGGGAAGTGCAGCTGCCCCACCAATATGGGTGGATAAGGAGTAGTCACCATCTAAATCACTCTCCGGCTGTGTTTGTACAATTTAGACATGGTGCTTCTCATCTAAGGTTCTGCAACATTATTTATTAACTTTCAGAAAGCAATTAAAACCCCCCATAAACAAACAAAAAACTCAAATCTCTTTTGGGCATGAGGTTTCTGTACGTTATTCTCTGACTTACATGCATCAAAACCCCTGCTTGGGATAGTACTGAAAGAAAAAAAACCTAGATTTTATTAATGTTACATTAATGTTTCCACAGACCCTCAGAAGTGGCTATTTTCATAGAAGGGGTCAGCACTAGAATAGGCATTTTTATTGAGAAAATCAATTGATTCTTATGCTAGTGTAGTTCACAACTTTACTCAGACAATTCCCTTCAGGCTCATTTAATGGAGAAAATCTGCATATATGTATGACCTGCAGAATTTCTTTGGACTTTTATGTCATTAGGTTAAGAACCTTTTTTTTTTGCCTAGTTGTTGTTACACTTATTGTCAGAGATATTGTAATGTCCAAGTCCTCAAAAATTACGCAGTAAAATTATGCCTCCAGATCTCTAAAGAATACAAGGATCAAGTAATTAAAGAAAAATATGTAACATTTTACGCATTCAAGTACCTGCCACCTAAAAAACTCTCATTCTTTCTTGCAGTGGCAGTGAAGAGGCACATGACCACTGCTAGGCAGAAAACAGATGTTTATAGAAGCATCATGAAAAGAATTCCTCATTTTTGGAGGCTCAGGTCCTGCCTGTTGTGGAACTCTTCTCAGTAGCATTATGAATACTTGTAAGATGAGCACACTGGTCACTGAAAAAACTGGGAACTGATTTGCCACCACTGGGTCTCTGTGATTAGTCACCCATCAGAGGGCATCACCCTTGCTGCATCTGTGCAAGGGGGAAAAGACTCACTGAGGGCCAGGCAGCCAAAAGCTCTTTGAAGGAGACTAGCAAAAATGAGATTTGTTTCTTCTTAATACTGGGCTGATGAGGGGGTAAGTGCCAGCTTCCCATCTCCCAGCAATCAGGAGCTGTGACACCCAGGGGAGCTGCAGAACTTGCAGACCCTGTACTTAGGGAGCTTGTGGTTTAGTTTAAACTGTGATGAAAGCAGCTTTTCTGGACTGCAAACTAGGATTTAGCAGAACACCAGGTACCCAGATCGCAGTACAGGTTAATGGGATGTGCTGCCTTCCCTCTGAAATTACCTCACTGATAGGTTTTCATCAGTGTTCACAAGAAAGATGTGGTGCAATACTACATCAAGATGCCAAACCTTTCTTTGCAAAGAACACAAAAGAGGACAGTTAAAATTTATCATCTACAAACAGATTAATTTGGTGTCTTAGCTGAGTTATCATGTGCCATCTGAAACAGTTCAATACTTGCCTTTGAAGGCAGTGGCAAACTGATCATCTGCAGGCTCCTATGCTACTGAACTCATCCAGAAACCTTGAACAGGACAGCTAAACCAGATATTATTTGCTCTGAAATTTGAAGGAAACTTTACTTACTGGGTAGTTCTTAAGCAAAATGCAGGATCAGTGACTTTGCACGCACACATAATGGCTGCTTACCTTCAAGATCAACATTGAGGCCAATGTGGAATTGCCAAATCAAAGATGAAGTTTTAAAAACAGTTTTGCAGACGCAGAGTGATGAGATTACAGCACTGTGTGACAGCACAACAAACACAACACAAGACGCAGCTGGCAATGCTATTTCTGAATCCAAACATTTTCCCTCATAGGAAATGTAAGTTTATTTGTTTTGATATCAATCTTCACCTTTCCCAAAGCATATTAATTTCTTGGTTCCAAGTAACTGTTATTTTTTTTCTTTTTACTTTTTCTTTTGCAGTAGATATAAATTACTGACTAAATAGACAACTATATAGCAAACTATTATGGTATTCAAAGCAAAAGGATTTATGTATGTATTGAGCCTATTAAAGTCAGGAGGAAGATACAGTGGAATTTCAAAGAAGTTAGTGATTTTACAGTATAATTGTAATAAGTGAACATGTAAGCTCATCAACAGTGAATGAAATAAAGGAAGGGAAAGCTATGGGGAAAATTAAATACATTATTTTAAATCCAAATAAAAGCTATGCAAATTTAAGTTACAAAATTCTTATGGGAAATAAGTACTGGTATGCAAATAGATCTACAGAAGATAAACTCTTCTAATTGAAGCCTATCCTAAAATCTCTGAACTCTCTAAGTAAAGTAAGCTTCTTAAAGCATAAGCAAATTCTCAGCCAGTATAAATCTCTCCAGCTTTAGCCTAAACTGAATTCCTATATTGGCATAAGCCCCTTGTGGCTAAAGCAAGTTTTATATTCCCTTACTGCCAAACCCAAGGGACATAGTCTCTGTTACCTGGCCTGCACTAGGCATAACACACAAAAAGCAATGTAAGCTTTCAGAAAGTAACTCTCACCTGTATCTACTTTACAGGAGACCTTTCTGTTAAGTAAAACTGAGCATGTTATTAGTGAACACCTGGGGAAAAATTTATTTGGATCCAAAATTTTAGGTGCTGTAAAAAAGGTGGAAAAAGTAGATTATTGTAGAGTTACATCTCACTGGGGTATGTGGAGGAAATTGTAAAGTAGCAAGCTGCCAGCTTCTTTGGGGATCCATACTGGCTTTATATGCTAGTGCCTTGAGAACAGCAAAAAAAGCAACAACTGATTGGTGAAAACTTCATCATTTTGGAAGCACTTTGGTTTTTAGTTCTGCTTTTGGAATAGTTAAATGCTGAGAAAACTATTGTCATTGAAGCTGAGATTAGAGACAAGAAAACCTTAATGATTCTATGAAAACTGAAAGGCTCAGCCACGTAAACTTTATACAGGTTTTCTAAATTTAAATCATCTACACAATTGGATAAATAATACCAAAAGGGAACTTAAGACCCTGCTCCAAAATCCACTGGATTTTTATATGTCCTTAATTTCAAATATTTGTTCAGGAACATTTTAGATAAGTGTCTGAAGAAATGGGTCTAACCTAAGGTCTCCTTTTAGGTTAGGTACAGCTATGATCAAGAGGAAAAAGACATGACAAAAATCACTCTTTTTACTAGGTTTTGAATCAACTGAAGCAAATCTTTCTCTCATGAAATTTAACTGGATAACAAAATCACTTTTTTAATACTGATCTCAAAGGCATAAGAGAGAAACCAAGAACTAATCTGATAAAATATCTCTTTAGATTACACTGATATTTCTACACTGTGCATACACAGTTTTTTGCTCTCCCTTCTGTATGAAGTTATTTTGAATTAAAATACACCTCTGCTAAAGTCAGGGAAAACTTTATCAATGACATCAATGGGGTCAAGGTTTCAGCAACTTGGTCTAAGCATAGAAAGAAAAACACAACTCCATCTTGCATCATTAGCCCATGCATGGGAACTTTTTTCCATGCTAAAGAAAGTTAATAGGAATGGCAAATACTCTAGGCAAATTTGGGCAAATGCCACTGACTCCTGCATACTTCATTAGAAAACTAATTAACAATCAAAACTGAGTAATAACTTCTGTGGAAATATTTATAGTTCTCTTCCTGACTCTCATTATCCAGTTCTACAGCAGTCTCCCATATTAGCATGTCACACCAGCCTTGATTATGTAGAAGCATTCAGGAAAATGATCTGAACCACCTACAGGTGTGACTTGGGTGTGTATTAGTAAAACTGCCTTTAATCCTGTGTGGACACAGCCTCAGAATTAAAGCACTTCTAATTTAATTTTGCATATATCAGAAGCAAAGTAAACAAACTGAAATCAAGGTCAAATCAACAGAAAAACTATATATGTAAGGAGCAAATATAATTTAATCCATGTTTTAAAGACTTCCACGGTACAGTAAGCAAAATCCTTAATTGCAAAATGTTTTGTTCTGAATGAGATTCACTTGCAGTTTTATTGAGATGACAATATCTTGCATTAAAGTTATTTTAAATTTTCAACTTTCAGGAATAACAAGTTTTTTCTACAGAATTCTATGGAAAATATATGCTCACAATTTCATGAACCATAACTCTAACTCCATCTGTTAGGCATTTGGGACAGTTTTGTTGCTTAGCTAGTATTTATACTTTTTCCAATGCTGTTCAATCTTTTAATTTTCTCAATGTCTTTGATTGCCTTATCCACAGCATGCTTCTATACTATGTATAATCCTATATTTCCTTACAACAGAAACCAAGTACATTTTTCAGATTCTGGGCTCCACTGGCATTCTCACAGTCACACATTATAGATTGCCAAACATTTGAAAGGGCAGGAGATTATGTGTCTGTATCATATAATAACAATAACACTTGAAATGCTGAATGGGCTGTTTGGTCTTGACCTTTATCCTTTGCCAGCAAGAGAAAGTTAAATTACTGTAAATTCCATCATCCCCTGAAGGTCTATGCTTGAGCAGAAGCACACTTGAGTGCTGGGCACCCTGGCTGTGAGCAGAGATGGGTAGAAAGTAAGTGGCTGCTCAGATGGGCACAGGGCTGTTCTGCAGTGGCATTTAGGGGGACTTTTTGCAGTGGATGGCACTGTTCCACCCATAGGAATATGACCAGGTGACCCACATAAAGATTTCCATCATGCTATTAACATTCCTAACTTCTGCTGCATAAAAGTGAACTTTTTTTTGTGTGTGATTTTCTTTCTCATTACAGTTAAAAAGAAAAAGAAAAAAAAGAAAAGTAAATACATTTTATGGAGAAAAGTTGAATCCATAGTGAAAACTCATGGAATAGAAGTTCATCAGGCTTTTCAAAACCAAAGATGCTGACATAGTCTATAGAATAGGAAGCTGATGCTGACAGGACATGCCATGGGAAGTACCACACCATGGTTTTACTCCATGCCTTGTTTCTTTTCTTAGACATCATTGTCAGAGACAGGATGCTGGAGCAAGTGGACTTTTGGTCTGATTCAGCCATACTGAAACAAATATCCCTTCACTGTTCCAGAAGGATGTTTGTCTTTTAGCAATATTGCTTCTCATTCCCTGTTTTGCATCTTTTCTGTGTTCCTCACAAACCTGGCTATTGCTACAGCTGCATGATAAACATCCTTACACCTTCCCTTCTCTCCAGCATGAAGATATTCAGTCTTTCTCTGTGGACAGAAACATTGTATTTAGGTGTCTGCACGATTTATGTGAGGCAATGACTGCCTGCCTGTGATTTGGGCTAGCAGTGGAGAAAATAAGGAGTCTTTCTCAGATGTGAAGTTTTCATATCACATTGATCAATGCAAAGCAATAGAAAATAAAACCAAAATAGGACCATTGCTTGGAGAGAACAGGGCATTATAGAACTGGAAAATTGTTAAGAAATATATAAATGAGGCAACATCTATGTTCCTATTCTTCTGTAGGCTTGATAAAAGCTTCTCTGGCTTTGGAAAGGTTGTATCACTCAGAGGAGAATATTTTGGGGTTTTGATTACTTGAAAAAATGTATTTGTAGATACACAATCCGTGACTACTTGGTGACAGTTCTTCAACAGTTCTTGTTAGTGTAGATGTGGAATTGGAAAAGAAAGTGGGCTAGTGGATAAACAGCAAGAACGTGAAGTCAGGATGTTGCTGCTTGTTTAGTAAAAGATCTGACAGTGCTCGCTAGAAAATCTGTGTATTTTGGCTTCAAGCATACATAGCGCTTTACTATGAATCACGATTTGTTGTTTTATTCCAGTAATAGCAAACTTTAAAAAGAGGCAAAAAAAGGTAAACTGGAGTTTTCAGCTATGAAGATGTATTTTGACTAATACGTTGTCAGGATTAATTCACTAATATGTAAGTGAGTACTTTCAGATCATTGCACTGAAGTTGCACTACAAAGGAAGTATGTAATTTGTTTTCTCACATCTGAAGCCCATTATTAGTACAACAAATAAAGAACATTTTAAATGTCAGGGAAGAATAGAAATTACAAATAAACAAAATTCTGTCTTAAATCATACATGACATATAAAAAAGCAGGCTTGCTCACTGCAGAACAGTATTGCATTTTTGCCTAGATTAAAGAGCATTTATTCTTCCAACACATTTTCATTAATGATCACTTGAGATGTTTATAACACAATGGGCAGTAAACATGAGACCTATTCATCAGTCTCCTCCTGGTCACAGCCAAAGTGGCCTTTCACACCACCATGAGACACAAACTCAATGAGGGTATCCTGCCAACTCCATCATCTTCTTCCAGTCCCTCATCTTCTCATGCTGACAAAGAGAGCACTGGTGGGCAAAAACCATGGCTTCCCTGGACACATTCCAGGAGTGACTGATGTTGTTGAGGGCTGCCCTCCTCCAGTGCCCATCAATCTACTTTTGAGTCTGACACACACATTTTCCTTTTAATCCTTCTTTCTCCTCTGGAATCACTTGTTCTTGTATTTTTTTCCTCCAGCCCCTTCTGCTCAAAGGGCTTGAAGGGCTGGTTATGGTTGGGCTAGCACCTGGCTCTAAAAGGGAGAAGAACAGCTAACATGGTTTAAACAGGACTTAATTAAATTTTTTTTTGCTCCTTTCTGCAGGGCCTAGTGAGAGCTTATGTGCTCACTGCATCGCTGAGAAATACTTGAGGAATAATTGGTCCCAGGAGAGTCATATGCCTGTGCCTTGAGATTCCCCCTTCACACTGAGTAGTTGCCTTTGTTGTCTTCCCACTGCTGATGTTAACCAGCAGAACAAGCACTGAACTGGAATGTTTCTGTCATATTTTTCTTCACCAATCTATTTTTGCTGTCCACCTTTTTGGAGTTTTTTTTGTGACTAATGGCCTTACAATGCTCGGAGCAAGAAGAGAACTTGGAGGTGAGTCTTGTGCTCTTCAGTGCCCTGATGCTGTACATTTGGATCAAAACTCCAGGTAAGAATTGGATCTCCAAAGAAAACTGAGGCCATGTCTGCTATAGCCCAGCAGACTCCTGTGGTCCAGAGATGTCACTTGAGGTCAGAGCTGCTGCTCTGGTAGATAGCTGGGTGGGAGAAAATCAGTCCCCCATTTTCCCCCAGCACACATTGTTTTCCTCAGATAACTGTGGAACTACAAAACAAACGACCCCACCTGGAGATCTTTTCCTGTGTGGAGTGCTGGTATATGCATGAAAATATCTCAGTCTGAGATTGCCAGTTCACCAGACAGAGAAAGCCTGAATCTTCAATCAAAGTTTTACTGATGACTTAAAGAAAATGCTGGGAAGGCTTCATTAGGTTTAACTCTTACTGCAAAACACATCACTGAATATTCTAGAGGGTGATGCATGGCTGATTACATAAACTCTTCTTGAGCAAGTCTGGGCAAACTCATGAGAGTATTCTTATGAGTTGAACCACATACTCTGTGGCTTAAATATTCAAAAGTTAATCTCAAAATTTTTCATTTTCGTTAGATTTTGGTAATTAAAGGTTATAAATGCACTAGATTTCTTGAAAAACAGTTAGTGATTGACCTAATACAAAACATAGCATACCTCAACAAATGGAGAATTTCACCCACTTTGGTTTATAACATTTGTTTCCTGCAGACAATGAAATTTTAATACTTGCAATCTTCTGAGAGCACTTCAATCCAGTGTAGATATTACAGAGAACAAAACTGTTTCAGGTCATTTTATTTTAACTCTTTTGTGTCCAGGAAAAATTTTTGAAAATATTTATGAAAAAGAAAAGGGATGAAAGATCAGAGAGGTTAGGTAGTGGTGTGCTTTATGTAATATTCTATTTCCCATAAAGGTCAGTGCCAATTTGATGTACATCACAGCAAGAAATCCTGCAGTGGAAAATAATGGAATATATTTTCATTTTATTAAAATCTAGCTTGTGAAAATTAGCATAACACTTGAAATCTGAGCCTAATACCATTAGCTTTTTTGGGCTTACTTGTGCTACCTGATGTACTTATTATCCTCATGAAGTTCCTGTTTCATTAATACAACTTCAGAGATATTCTTCAGAAATTAATTTGCACAGTGTGCAATTACACTGTTGAAAAACATCTATTTCCTTTTTCAGTTATAAATGCATTATCCTTTGTCTAAATGGATGCTTCTGTGTTTATATCTGATGAGAAGAATCAATTCCATTAGTTCTATCCACCTTTCCAGTCTTTTTCTGTGTACATTTATTCCATCTCCTCATATTTATTTCTGGTTTAAAGCACAGTGTTCATCTATCTTCATAACAGTATTTTTCCATGTCTAAGAGTCTTTGTCATCAGCATTGGCCTTCTTCTATTTTTGCTATGTCATCCCTGGAAACATAAAATCTCTATAATAAATCATAATGACAAAATATAAATTAATTTAGCATGCATTTGCAAGCAATAATTTGCTTGCTCTAGGACTGTTGGTATTTCTTGAACTGACTTACAGTTGATTCAACCAGCTGTCAATTTTTAAAATTAGTCTTTTTTCCAAAAGTATTTTGCTTTTCTCTTTTACACATTTTCTTTGGAGAAAGATCTACATTGACTAACTTACATCCCAAGCCACAAACAGCTTTCCTATACATGTCAGTATTTCAAATCAGAGTGGGTTTGTTATCAATGAGAATGGAGTTTGGCTAGAGATAGAATTATTTCCTTTCCCTTGTAGGGTTGGACCTCACCTTTCTATCAGTAAGCCTTGAGAGTTTAGAAAGGAAGGTTAGACTATCTTGGGGCGTTTTCTCTCTCTTAAACCAGCTATATTTATGTTTTGTTTTAAATGAGAATTATACTAAAATCCCAAAAGAGTAGAATACAACCTTTTCCAAATTGTCTAGAACAGCTTTTATGTAATAAATATGACACACACACCTATGTATATATAAGTGTAAGTATTGTATTTGAATGAGCTTGGACTTCGTGATGACTTGCAGAACTCATGTACTGCAGTCATCTAGAAATCATATTCCTAAAAATGGTGTATTGTCTCATATGATATGTATTTTCTCATACAAATCAAATATGTTTTAGCTTGAAGTTGGCTAGGGAACTGCTAGGAAGTATGGGGGAAAACACAAAGAAGAAAGTTTTGCCCTGAACTCTGCTGTTATTAGTTGCTGAACCTTCCTCCCTTTCTGCAGTTCAAAAGATATAGCCCTCACATTGCTTATTTTTGTGAACTTTGATACAGTTATAAGTAGATGTCCACAGTAAACACTCCAGAAAGCTAAGATGAAAAAAGCAAAACAACACAATGTTGTTCTCCACAAGTTAGAAAGGGAGAATAACCGAGATATGACATCTGGGCATTTAAATTTTCATTAGATAAATTCCAGACTGGGACTCTGGCACTATCAGTGTCCAGAAAGTGAAAAACACATGGGGGTAGGAATCCAGGAAAGGATATACAGATACTCCAGTGCCTATGCTGTATTTTGGCACGGTGCTATAAAGAGAGTTTTCACCATGAAATGGCTAACAATGGGCCCCTGCAGAGGGACAGGGATGGCTCCCTAATGCTTGCAATGTGTGCCTAACACTGCCGGGAAATGGCAGATCTCATCTTGCTAGTGTGGTTTCCAACAGCCTGGCTAAGGTCTAGGACCAAGTGCAGCTGACAAGGTTGGCATTGGTGGCAGCAGTGGTGGATGTGTCATCTCTAGCACAACATGGGATTGTTTTTGCCTCTTGCTTGGAACAGCAGCACAGCAGGCAGCTGTGTTCAGGCAGCCACAGCAAGGTTAGTCCGTCAGGAAGGGTGACAGACCCCTCACATGAGATACTGACTGTGGCACAGATGAGCGAGAGATGCCATGAATAGTATCTGGGATTTGAAAGGCAAATGCTGAGAGCTGCTGGGATGGATCCAGTACCTGAAACGACTCTGCATGTACCTGAAAGTCTGGTAATATCCAAAGTAGCCTGGAGTCACTGAAGTAGACTAAAGACACTAAGTGTCATGGAGTTACTTGGTATGACACAGGGAATCACCTCCTTACTGCTCTTCACTTTTCTCATATTTGCTCTCTCTCTCCTGAGAGCCTGGTTTAGGCCAGCAAAAGAACTCCATCCTTTTCTCTCCTGGGTCAGAGCCTGGAGTAAAAGAGGAAAGGAGGAACATATTTTTCAGCAGCATAATGTTTTGCCAGGTCATGAAGTGGCTGCTAAAACCATGTTGTCTGGCTTTGCTTTCAAAACAGCTCAGTGCTCCTTGGGAGTCAGAGACAAAGGCTGCATTTTCTGTTACTTCTCTCACTTTTTTTTTTTTCCAGCTCTATGCTCCCTTAAGGGAGACAGGATCAGAGTTCAGAAGAGAAATCATCAATTTTTTCTCATAATGATATTTATAAAGATGTTCATGGCATTTTAAACACCATGCAAGGAGTTTCTCAAGCAGGATTTCACCTGAATACAACCTTCATTTCAACAACTTTGTATTCAGCTTTCCCCTGAATACAACTTAGGGACACTTGACAATATAATTTCTTAGAGGAAGAAACTTTGTATTTAAGTGTTTTGTATTCTTTTTCACCCCAGGACGATCCAGTGGGCAGATGTCGGCTTCTTACTCTGGAAAAACAAATTTGATGAGTTTTATATAATTAATTTTAAAAGGCAATAATAAATTTATAAGCTCAAATCTGTAGAACAGATCAGCAGAAAATAAGATTCCTCTCAGAAGAATATGAGATAGTGCTCAGCCATGCCCTAGGGTCTTGAAGATAAATAGGAAACGTGAACTGGAATTCTCACCTCTCTAAAGTCAACTGGATTGATTTTCAATGACCAAAGTAAAACAAATTTTTCACGATGAAGTCCAAGATCTTAGGAGAAAACCTAAGTGGGAAAAGAAATCAAAATTAATAAAAATAAAAAAGGGCATGTAGTTAATTTTGTGTGTATTGGGAATGCTGTGTGAATTTCTTAGTGAGAAAACTGTGCAGAGTCATAAGTATTTGCAGTATTTTAGCCCAATAGTAGGGTTGGTGTTTCAGGCAGCCATAAAAAAAATAGCATAAGGAAGGCATTGGATTAAAATAGTAGGGTCATGTGGTGAGAAGTAACTTATTTGATCTTTTCAAGGTCTAAATACAGAATTCAAATCAAATAAAATGGTTGTTTTCTGCTTAGAGTTGCACAAACATGTGCCAATATAACTTAGAAATATTTTTGTTTATAAATTTGAAGGAGTGAGAGGTTAAAGAACTAGTTCTAAATTGACCTGGCCATCTAGAGGAAATCCATGCTAAACCTGATCTGTCTTTAATAACCAAGAATGTGTTTTGTGTCCTATTCTCTTGAGATTCAGTTAATATTAATGCAAACAAGATGTGAAAGGAAATTCTGTTCTTCACTTTCTAGTAGCTTTTAGTCTCAGAATAGAAGGGATTGAAAATGAGATAAAGAAGAGTTTGTTTGAAAACTTATTGCAAAACTAAAGGCTTTTAGAGTCCTTCAAACATTTGTGCACTTGCTTTATGCTTATTGATATAATTTTGTGAAATTCATTTTCAAGACAGAGGATTAAAACTGCACTGGTGGAAATTCTGTGGTTACAGGTCCGAGTGAAGTGAATGTAACTTTTGTGGAGTCAGCTACAAATTATAGTTAGCTACACAGCATTCCAACGCCATTACAGAAATCCTGAATCAGTACAAAAGAGAATTTATAGTTAAAACTATGATGCCTCTGAGGTTAGCTTAATACATAGGACATTTTATGAGAGAAAAAGTTACTTTCTCATTGATTTGCAAATCTCGAATCTGTGGGTGTCCTGCCACTGCCGGGAGCTGAAGGCAGCACAGGAGCAGCTGGCCTGCAGGAGCTGGTGCTCCTGCCGCGGGGAGAAGCCTTTTCCAGTTCAGCAGGTAGGTGCACATTGCAGCCAAAACCAGCCTCAGCAAAGCGCTGCTGCTCCCGGATCGCTGCTGCGCGGCCCCGAAGGGATCAGGCAGTCACAGCCAGACTTGCAAGTCTATTAAGAGGGATCCTTGAGTGTTACTGCCTTTCACTGGTGAAATCATAGCAGCATTAAGCGAGAGAACAACTGAAAAAGGTCGTTTTAGAGTAGTTTCCTAGGTCTTTGGATGTCTGAGCCTAATTCACAGGTCAAAATAATGGATAAAGGAGCGCTTAGGTGGGGGTTCTAGTGGAAAAGTATCCTAGCAAACCTATATGAAAACTAAGAATCAATGAAAATCCCAGCGGTACACAGGGCATTAAATCTGGATCGTTCAGCCATCAAAATGGGAGCTCTAGGCACTCTCTGGGCTCCAGCACGGATGCACCAGGCTTTTCCACCCTGGCTGCAGGGCTCCATGGCCAAGGGGAGCAGGCCCGTGGTCCAGGCTGGGGGAACTGGCTGTGCAGCCTTCCCTTCCTGACAGGCACCCCCGGTGAGCCGCGGGGGAACACAGCTGCTGCACGGCTGGGAAATGCAGCAGGCGCACAGGTGGGCATGCTGGTGGGTACACGGGTGGGTACACGGGTGGCCACAGTGGCAGGGTACACGGGTGGGTACACAGGTGAGCACACAGGTGGCCACAGTGGCAGGGTACACGGGTGGGTGCTCCAGGACCATTTGCAGAGCTGTCGGGCCATCTGTGGCGCTCTGCGGGCGCCGCTACTCCAGCTACGCAGACGGGTCCAGCTTCACCTCCGAGTGCCCCGCGTTACCCTCACACACATTCTGCTGCCACCGCTGGCCGGGCAGCGCCACCCGCACCCTCCACAGCACCGGCCGGCGCTCGGCGGCTCCTTTTCCTGAGGGCCCTTCCCGTGCCGCGGGAG